GATTCAACAACATGCCACAATTCAATGACTGCACATAATCAGATCATACTCCGGGTTCTTACTACAAGCAAAGCAGACATTGGTGCATATATTCACTATTAGAAAAGACATTAATAAGAAGAACAAAAGGTATTATTGAGAGAAGGGAAAGTGATATTTCCCTTCTTCTAGATGTTAATCTAAGCTAGGACAGTAGGTGGCTCTATAACATTACTTGACAGGTTCTAGCAGTATAAGTAGGAGGCATGCAAAGAAAACAGTACTGTGTTTTTGTATTAATTTACAAAAATATATATTTTAAAAATAACAAAGCATGATAAAGATGTTCCATTATAAATATACATTTATTTGCCCAAAAATCAAGTACACAGAACTCTGATGTGTGGTTTCATTAAACAAAATGCTTTGGAATGAGAAAACAAAGCAATGTTTTCTAGACTGAATATTACATAACACCTAGACATTATTTTTGCCACAGGTAACAGAGGTTTAACTCTGGAAATGCTAAAAGAAAATGTTCATTGACACTCTTTCAAGAGAAGCCTAACTCCATATAAAATGAATCTAATGGTTCTAAAACATAAATAGCATAAGAAATCATTTAAGACCACCATAGTCACCATAGTCTTTCCATAAATCCATCAAAGGATTATTTGTATAAAGGCATATGAATATATTCCAGGTCATGGAATCTCTGTAATAAATTATATTGATGATAGAATGTATTCCCATCATACTTGGTTGTTTATTGATATTATAACATAAAAACCAATAAAACTATTAAAGGATAGTGATTCCTAGTTATGATAACAGAAAAAAGCTGAGATCTTCAAGATTAGGTCTAGTATTTTTCTTCAAAGAAGTCTACTGCATAAGTGAAGGCTATCATTGTCAGGCTGCCCACAAATACTTTCAGCCCTTCCCAAACATTTTGGTCAATCAAGGTACCATATGTTAAGTACTAGAGTTTCTTTGTTGTGGACTCTGTGCATCACACATATATGGGTGCTGCGCCTCCATGGTGCCTGTTGTTGGGAAGAAACTTAAAAAAAATAAAACTTCTGCAGTCTATTTGTCTTTTCCTGATTTTTCGACTTTGCTCCTTCCCTGATAGTTTCCTTCTACTCATTTCCCCTTATGATCCTACTTA